AAAAAAAAAAAGAAAAGTATTTGACACCTTAGTCATCAACCATAAGGGGTTATAGCCACAGGATTGCACATAACAATACTCTGCAAATATTAATTCCTCCAGTTTTTCTCTTGAATTAGTAAAAATTAGAACATGAAAATTTAAAAGCAGACTTTGAAAATCTATTCAATGTAATAATAGCAATGCAATAATAGTACCACCTTGTTTTTTTAATACATCACATTTCAAAGTATTTTTGTGTAAATACGTTTTGTTTTGTTGTTGATTTGAAATAAAGTCTGACTAAACATTAATTCTAACCATTTTCAATTTTTGTTTACCAGTAATTTTACACGGATACCCCATTTAGCAGGAACAGAACAAAACTTTCAGCTTGCAAAGCAAATTCAATCCCAGTGGAAAGAATTTGGCCTGGATTCTGTTGAGCTAGCCCATTATGACGTCCTGTTGTCCTACCCAAATAAGACTCATCCCAACTACATCTCAATAATTGATGAAGATGGAAATGAGGTAAAAGAAAAAGAATAACGGAAACATCCCCCCAATCTATTCTTTTTCAAAAGCTTCTATGAAAGAATGTTCTATACCATCTCCAAATATTGATAGAAAACAGTATTATTAAATCTTGTGAATAATACCTTTAATATTGTTGCTCCATGAATTAATATTAAACATGTTTTGGGACAGGATTTGTCTTAAGAGTTTCACAGAGCTTTGCCCTGAAAGAATATGTGAACGTGTTGGTTTGCATTTCGAATGCTGTTACACACGGAAGGACGTCTCTGAAAGGCAATAGCGGCTGTATCCCACGAGGCGCCGCGTTTCTCAGACCTAAAGAATTGGATTTGCTTTGTAAAGCACAAGCGAATCTGTTAAAAACTATAGGCTGAGAGCTGACAATGGAGTGCCCTCTGGAACAAACAGCTTCCCGGAAAGGACAGCTTCCCAAATGGCTAAAAGCAAAACTTTTGTTTAAACCACTCTAGACTACCTGTCTCCATTCACAATAACCTAATAAACATGGAGCTTACATATCTCTGTTTAACCCCTCTGTTTAAATGATAAACTTACCTTAGAATTTAGAAATTAACCTTTGAAAGACTTTGTAACCGTTTGCTCACCTAAACAGAATTAGTTAAAGAATCTGTAGAAGCCTTCTGTAAAAGCCTTTTGAAAATCTGTTAACCTAAAAGGGACTACCTGCTGTTATGTAAATCTGTTACCCCCCGACAATCGTTCACTATTTCCTATAAGTTACCATGTAAGACCTCATCCGGGGCTTTTGAGACCAACGGAGAGGTCTAAGCCCCCTGAGCTCCCGCTTTGCCTATAATCTTTATAAACTTATAAAACTATATCTTTGTCTCAGTGTATTCTTTTATTTCTTCCATTTTCCATTTCTCTCTATTATTTCTTATCCCTTGCAACTCTACCAAAGGGACCTGGTTTTTTGCAGGGAACACTGGCCACGTTCCCTGCATAATATCTCATTACCAGTGTCAACTACTTTCTTATGATGTTTTAAGTTAATGTGATGTTAGAAAGATTCTGAGAAAAAATGCTTGATACCGATTGCTTTTATTTTTTAGTGTTACACACCAATTTCAAATATGATATATTAGTAAACTTTTGAGCATTGTGTAGATTTGGTGTTGCTAGGAAGTTCAGAAACCCAGTATGCAGTTTGACCTAGCAGGTTTTTATTGGTACTTAATGATTATGTCTCAAATGACCATGTGTTCAGCTCTGTGCCAAGAACTTGTGTGTGGGTATTTGGAGGGGATGAGGGTTTGGAGGCAAGGTCTATAGAATAATATCTACTCTAAAGAATTTCCAATCTAGTTTTCAAGTTGGGTCACATACTTGAGAAAGAAGATAATGCAGATAACTGAGATATTTCTTATCATACTATATGTTCAATATGAAAGCTCATAAAATATATATTCATCCCTATTTAACAAATCTTAGTTTTAGAGCTACTATACCTGGAAGAGTCTCTTTCAGTCTAAACAGCTTCCTTTAGTTTTTTTAATTACTGGACCTTCTAAATTATATATAGCTTCAAATATGTCCAGCTTGATCAGTGAACTGAAAATATCATGTGATTTAAATATATATTTAAATTTTTTTCAAAATATGGCAATAACCTCCTCTCACTGACTAATGAATCAATCTCTTCTTAATGATTAATATGTTGTTATGTTTTTCAGTTGGTGATATAATCAATCCCATGCTAAATTTCCTAATATGACTTGGAGCTCTCCCTATTAATTACTATTTTAAATCATAGTAGTTAGAATTTTAACTTTAAAAAATTATTAAACTATTTCAAAATCTAAGAAGTATTTTTAAAAAAGGTATTGGGAATACCAATGTATATCATATAGTCTCATAACAGTCTCATAACATTTATAAAATAAGAGATGGCATATCTGTACAATTAAGTACTAAGGCAGCAGTTCCCAATCTTTTTGGCACCAGGGACCGGTTTCATGGAAGACAATTTTTCCATAGACTGGGGGTGAGGGGGAGAGGGTTTTGGGATGATTCAAGTGCATTACATTTATTGTGCACTTTATTTATATTATTACATTGTAATATATACTGTAAGGCTGCCACCAGATGGATCTTAATTGTCACTTGCCACTCATGGATAGGGTTTTGATATGAGTCTGCAAGCAACTGATTTATTATGGTCTCTGTGCAGTCAAACCTCTCTGCTAATGATAATCTGTAATTTGCAGCTGCTCCCCAGTGCTAGCAGGACTGTCTCAGCTCCACCTCAGATCATCAGGCATTAGATTTTCATAAGGGCCGCACAACTTAGATCCCTCACACAGTTTACCATAGAGTTTGCACTCCTATGAGAATCTAACGCCGCCACTGATCTGACAGGAGGCAGAGATCAGGCGGGGATGTGAGCAATGGGAACAGCTGTAAATATAAATGAAGCTTTGTTGGCTTGCCTGCTGTTCACCTCCTGCTGTGTGGCCCTGTTCCTAACAGGCTGTGGACCAGTACTAGTCAGCAACCTGTGGCTTGGGGACCGCAGTACTAAAGGGTCTTTACAAGTATGTTTAGGAAAATTATTTAATGACATAATAAAATATTTATGATGTTAAAAGAGATACATAAACTTCTGTTTTGATCTTTCTCTTGGTCTAGAGTGCCATGGCATCAGCCCAGCTCACACCTGGACTCAAGGGATCCTCCTGCCTGAGCCCTGAGCCTCCTGAATAGCTGGGACTACAGGCACGTGCCACCATGCCTGCCTAATTTTTTTTTTTTAATTTTTAGTTGGCTGGCTAATTTTTTCTATTTTTGGTAGAGATGGGGTCTCGCTCTTGCTCAGGCTGGTCTGGAACTCCTGTGCTCAAGCAATCCTTCCATCTCGGCCTCCCAGAGTGTTAGGATTACAGGCGTGAGCCACCATGCCTGGCCATATATTGACTTTTTATCTCACAAAAAAAGTATTAATAGAAATTTGTATGCCAAAATTGTTTTAGTTATACTCTGAAAACATAATTGAGGCTACTAGTGAATTTTGGAAAGTAAGTAATGCTCGAAGACTGGCATGTATACATATATATACACTACCTTTGTTAAACTCAACCCAAAAAAGTGATTTTCTTAACCTCAGAAAACTTTTTCCTAGTTTTTAGAATAACTCATAAACTTGCTGTAAAATTCACTGTGGTACAGTGGTTCTGTAAAAGTGATTACCATAAAGGCAAATCGAGTGAGACAAGCTTGAATACTCCCTTGCCTGAAAGACTTGCTTATATAATGAGCGTTTCTAAATGAATTTTTATTGCTCCTTAGCATAGTTTTTTTTTTTATAATTTTACCCAGTGATTCAGATGAATTTGTACCCTCTGTCGATCACAGAAATAATATGGGGAATTTGGAAGATGTGAAGATTTTGGGAGTGGTATTGATTTGGTTTCATTTTAGGTTCTATCAGCTTCAAGAAAGGCAGATAACTAGTGCTCCAATTATTAATAGTATAATATAACATCGGCTGGGATTCACTCCTCACCTCCTCTCTTTGTATTACTGCTCTAATCAGGACCTATAGTATAATGTTGAAAGAAGTAGATAGTAGATATTTGTGACTTTCTTCTGGTCTTGAAAGGAATGCCTTTAATGTTTCACTATTAATTTTAATATTTACTGTCTTTATCAGGTTAACTTACTTCACTTTCCTTCCAAGTTTACTAAGACTTTTTGCTATGGATTTACTTTGAATTATCAACACACTTTTCTTTTGAGATGACCATGTAATTTTTCTTTCTCGATCTGATGCTGATTTCAAGTGATATTCTAATGTTTAACTAATGTTAAGTTTTTGAAACTTTTAACATTGGTCACTATTAGGGTTTTACATTCATATATTGATATATATTCACTTTATATTCATACCATGTTTAGTCAGTGTTTCTGTAATTAACTTGTTCGATTATAACATCAATATTATACTTATAAATGAGTTGGGTTTTTAGTATTCTCTGAAATAGATCATGCTATATTTACATGATCTTTTCTTTTAATTTTTCAAACTCAAGGAAAAGTGGTCCTTGGCACTCTATTTTATGGAAGATTTTAAACTACTGGTTTAGTTTAGTCCTTATTGTTATATGACTATTTAGATTTTTTAAAAAACATATTCTTACATCCATTTTCATAAGTTTTTAAAAATGCATTTTTTCATTTTATCTAAGTTTTCAAATTTATGGTATAGTTATTTCTAGTATTTTCTTATCTTTTTGATTTTGTGTAGGATCTGTCAATATGCCTCTTTTTTCATTCCTAATTACCATTTATTTGTACTTTTGTTATATTTT